CAACTCTGGGTTGGTTGACTTTGACACGGCGAACATGTCTATGGAACGGTTACTGCGAAGTGTTATCGCGCTGCATATATCTCATACCGTCTCCTCGGCCTATTACAGCATAAGTCAAAGCTTACTATATTCAACCAGCACGTTGTCCTTACGAGCCCAGCTCACGACCACTGAGCCCGGTAACTGCCTACTCGATGTTCAACTCACGGAAACCAGATACCTTAGGGTTTCTGTGGAGCCGATGTCAGGCGCGAACGTCTTTTCCACTACACCCAATGTCTTGGAGCGGCCTGACAATGATCGGCTAGCAGACAAACCTGCTGTTGATGACATTGTCACCCGCGTTGCACGCCTCCGGTGCATTGCAGCTATAGAAGAAGTCGAGTGCTACTTGCAAATGCTAGGCTTCGACGTGATAAACCCAAGGATGTTGAATATAGACATTCGCAGGGTCTTTCCAGCGAACGTTCTGCGCATTTCCTTCTTCAGCCACAAATCCTGGGAGCAAAACTGGGTTGTGGCAGCAACGAGCAGCATGGATGGTGATAATTGGTGGCTTGTTCAGCTTCGACCCGGGGTCGTACCCAAGAGACATTCCGCATTCGATGTGAATCTCGGCAGCCGGCCTGCTTTTCGTTTGGCTCAGGTCGTCAGCAACACTTTCATTTTCTCTCGGCATGAAAAGAGTTATATGTCCTTAGCAAACCTTGGGCACAGTCTATCGGGAATTCTCACAATATATGCCAACTCCCGTTGTCTGGCCGACCTAGACGCAATCCAATCATGCCCTCCTGCACACAAGCTGAGAATCGAGGCTGGCTTCCAGATCCCAGACATTTCACTCCGATATGAACCTGCCAAGCTTCCCAACGCCATACAATTAGTTCTGCCTGCAGGAATAAGGCAGAAAGGTTTCATCAGAGAAACCGTTCGTCTTACCTTTCTTGGTATTGATTCACAGACAAATCTCGCTATAATAGGGGCCTACGGAAGATTGAATATTCCCGTGAAAGCTTTCAGTGCCCTCATGTCCAAGTGGGACCGCTCTTTAGTGTTTCAAGAGAGCCACAACGGCTTTGCAATTCGTCTACTTGCACCAACAGGTCGACCAGTCATCATCAGTCTCGTAGAGGATCTACAGAGACTCGAATGTGTGTTGTCTATTTTAGATATCTTGCAACGGAAGAAGATAGAGGTTACATCGATATCGCTGTCTGGCATCTTCTTCACTTATGGACCTAGAAGGGACTTAGCTGCCAGGCTGGAGGTTGAAGTCAAAAGGAACCCCTCTCTTTCAGAGGCCGATGCGGCTGAGCTTGCGACCAGGTCTGATTCGATCTTCCGCTTGCAGCTCGGCATAAGATTTGACTCCACAAATCCCCATCGTCGAATCCAGGGAGCTCTTGCATCTAGCCTGAATCGTACTTCAGCAGAGGCCAGCATAGAGACCATTGCTGAACTCCTGACAAGCACATTACCTCTAATGCGAGCTTTGGATCATATAATGGATAACACTTCTCGCAACGAGTCCTTAAAGGTGCAAGTGACTGTGCGCAACGCCATGACGTATGCTATTCACTATCCTGATGCAAATCTGCGCTTTCGATTGGTTGCCAGGATACGTTCGAACCGCCTAGTGTGGGTGCTCAGAAATGTGAGCAGCTCCGAGTCTAGTTCCGACCAGGTTCATTCAATGTCCAAAGTACAGCAGTCTCTGTATGATTCCAAAGGCGAGGGCTGGAGGGGGCTTGGGAATGGTGTGATTGCACAAATTGACCGGGTTGGGAATCTTTTGGGGGAACTTCACAGATGCATTGCTGCCTCCGTTCCTAATACTTCTTTGAATAAAGTTGGTACCAGGGAATTATCGACCATCACGCCCACACAAGCTACAGCGCTCAGTGAGGTTGCCTCGGGAGTGGCAACGAAAGCAGTACGCCGGGATTCGTCACGTCCTGCTCATTTGCAGGAAAGGACAACTCAACACTCTGGCAGTGTTGCTTCAGACACTGCAGATGTCATCATGATCGACTAGAATAGAGGCTTCTGAAATGGAACCCATATTTGCACAGGCCCATATCTTTATTAGTCCACTTCATATATGAATGCCCCAAGGCACCTTTAAGGATTGTGCTCCTATTTGTGAATCTCGTATGCTGTATTTTCCGTATTTAGACACATTGCTCATCTGTTCGAACCCCCTTCCCTTCCCCCATCCCTCTTGGACTTTGTGGTAATAAATGCTTTCATTGCGAGTTTAGTCCGATGAGCATTCTACAGCGTGAGGTCTCCAAGTATGATGCGATAATGGAAGTGAAGGTGAGCCCACATCGCGTCATTGCCTTATCTGACAAAGAATGTTCTCCGGTCTCATTACTCTCGAGAGAAGTCTATTGCCTGCCTGATGACATCCGAACCTGGCTAATGGTAAATCGGTGGCTAGAATATCATTATTCATATCTATCAGTCACTCAAGTGTCGCATTTGACTAATAACGCTCTTCTCTGACTCGTCCCCGGTTTTTGAGAGCGTCATATTCTATCCATTGCACGCAAGTAAGACCATTTCCTGAAACAACCCTTCCTGGGTTCATAACATGGCAGCCTTCGTACGTCATGCAAAATGGAACAGATTCTGGGTCAGCCAAGATGAGCGCGGTTGGCAGTGGATACAGCTGAAGTGAAGATGCATAGTCCCAGAGAACGGGTCGCAAAGAGAGTGGGAAAGGCGACAAATTTCCTTGATCTAGGATGGTCTTCACAAGCTTTCGAGCAATCGATGTTGTAGAAGGCATTGTATTGGCGTCAGTAGATGTATTTTGGGCTTGAGGAGCTGGCTGATCTTCAACTTCTGAGCCGCTGTTCCCATTTGTGTGAGTGATGTCGCCTGGGCCGACCTTGATTGCGCTGCGTCGAAGCCTACTCGATATGTCATCTCGAAATATGGCGATGTCATGGAGAGGTCCGAACAGGGTCAAACGCGCAGGATTAGAAGTCCATATTGCTTCGCCAGGCGGCTCAGATGTCTTGGAGCGATCAACATGTGAATTTGCCGCGGCAAACGCACGTCTCACTCTGGTAGTGAACAGTTCAGGAATAGCATGGCGTGGTACTGTGGAAGCAGCACCAGCAGAGAAAGCTGACGACCATGGATCATTGTCACCTGGGACGAAAACGAAGCTCGAATGCTGTAGCAGCAGAGGGAATTCAGAGAGCGTCAAAGATAATGCATCAAAGTATTCTTTGTACTCGATACTGCCTGCCTGACCACTGCTGTTGATTATTGCTTTCTGCACAAAATTTCCGATAAGGACGAATGCTACCGGAAGTTCGACCACATCAAGGCTGCTGTAGTAGCTAAAAACCTTCTTCAAGGCGTCCAAAGTCCCCATGTCGTCAAGGTTGACCTCACTCATGATCGCCATCTTAAGTCGCCGACCATCCTCAACGTTGTCGTGAACATTCTCTAAATATTGAGACTGGATTTGCCTCATGCGTGGGCCTTGCGCCCGCTCACTCCCAACCCCTAGGAAGTCTACCCAGCCAAGACCTCCGCTCGAGCTGATTTCAGTATTGCGTTGTCGGTTGCTTGTCCCTAATGTGATGTCGCGGCGCTCACATGGAGGTCCACAAATAGAAATGCCTATGAATTTCCCTCCGATGGCTCCACCAACGCCGGAATTACCACCGAGTGAAGATCCCTTAACATGTGCTTCCTCTTCGTAGACTCCATCTACAAGAGCAAACATCCCAGGGGCAAGCCAAGAACCGTCTTCCGGGACAACTCGCCCATGACTCAGATCAAGAACAATACTTCCTGTTTGGTCACTTAGAGAGAGCTCCCCAGTGGGTGACACGGAGAGTAAGCCAAGGATTAGGTGGGAAGTCCCGCTTCTTCCCAGCAGATTGGCAACCGGGGTCAGTTTGTACCCGGTTGATGATGTTCGCTGTGATACCGACTGACTAGACAACCCTGATGATGTTTGGAATGACTCGTTCCGAAGGAGCCGTTGGTGAACGATGTTGTAGCGGTCTCTGAAAAAGGCAGTTTTATGAGACGGCGACGGAAAGAGTGAGGGCTTTGATTTAGCAGTCTCGAAATACTTCATATCCCCATGATATGTTAAGCGTGGAATATCAAATGCCTCAATAATCCTCAACCATTGCCTTGGATGTAGAGCCAAGTCAGCTTCTTCGGACTTTCCGCCTTCAAGGGTGTTTGCTGCAAGAACAGTCTCCGAAATGAAACCCCTGCTGTCCAAGTTTGGACTGCGGCTTGAGGTTGCCTCATGTGCTGATGTATTCTTCCCCGCGACCATTCTCCCTCCACTCATATTACCCTCCAGGATTTGCAATATAGCCTTCAATGAGGCCCCTTTGCCTTCATCAACAATCACACCACCTCCAGCTTTCCTCCAGCTCTTGGCAACTTCATCCAGCACACGTTCAGCAAGGCCCTCTTCCCGCCATCCCGAGCCACAATTTCTTCCCACGAAAGTTGCTAAGGTCTGGAGAGCAGATGATGAGATCGTGAGGTTATGCTTCCGCGTAAAAGTCCGAAAGGCTACAGGACGAAGGGTAGAGGGTGGAAGTAGAATGGGAAGTATCGAGGTTCGCGTAGGAGCGGGATTGAGTCTGGTCTTTCGAAAAGGGTGCGCAGGAGTGCCAAACCCAGGCGACGATGAAGGAACCGGATCCAGATCCATGATTGAGGCTCGAGATGTGCGTGGTGTCAGGAGAGACAACTCAACCTTTTCTTCCAGGTATGGGTGATCGCACTTGACCCTCGTAAGCAAAAGCGTGATATACCTAGAATACCCCCTGATTCGTGGTTGTTTGTCAAATGTGAGTCCTAACAATGGTCGCGAGTGGAAACAATTCAGTACCGAATCCGATAGCTAGCTATCTTGCCCGAGCGGGACGCGAGGTTGTCGCGCGGCGCACGCGCCTTCCCGCGATTACTTATCGCATGTTCCGAGGAAGATCTTTGATTTCTTTGTCGGTAAGCTTGTCAAAAATCATTTGACACTGACCTTTATGCTTAGGCGAGTCGATTCAATCAACTTGATATATTATATTCCTCTTCCCGATCCTTTTCTTCTGGTTTAACGCCCTCCTTGTTCAAAGGCTCGATTCGCCCTGCGCAGTTCGTTGCATCCTGCATCCGGTTGAGCTCTGTATGGGTTGTCCATCCGATGTCTCTGATGAGTTTTCCCTCAGACTGCTGACTAGGGCTGCAAGCATATTCATATCTATAGTCGATTCCTTTCAGATAGCTAACATGGCTGAAACAAATGACTTGGGTGTCGCCCTACCACGAGGAGACTGCGACGGTGATGACCGGGCGTCCTTGGACGATCTCATCAGTCAAGCTACAGCGAAAGACGCAATCAAAGATTTCAGTGCGGCCGCGGAGCTTTATTCCGAGGCTACGGAGCTTCAGGCGAAACTGAATGGCGAACTAGCACTCGACAATGCCGATCTTCTCTTCGCTTACGGAAAAGCCCTTTATAATGTTGCTGTTAGTAAGAGCGATGTTCTTGGATCAAAGGTGGCCACCGAGCCCCCCTCGCAATCAAACAAAACAACACCGACAGCAGAAAGTGTCATTCAAGATGCTATTGTCCAGGCGCAGTCTGCAGAACCAGGATCTGAAGTCAAAGCCAAGCCGACCGACGATATGAGCAGACCATACTTTCAATTTACAGGCGACGAGAATTTCGACGATTCCGATACTGAAGACGAAGATGATCCCCCGCTTGTCGAGGAGGAGGAGGAGGATGACTTTGCCAATGCCTATGAGGTTCTCGATTTGGCGCGTATACTGTTCCAGAAGAAGCTAAACGCGTTGGAGGAGGACGTCGGGAAAGGGAAATCTGCGGAGGCACCCTCAAACCTCAAGCAACTCAAAGAACGACTTGCTGATACGTATGACCTACAAGCTGAGATCTCACTCGAAGCTGAAAGGTTTGCGGATGCAGTGGCAGATTTGAGGACAGCCCTAAGTCTAAGACAGTCGCTGTTCCCAATGGAAGACCCCTCCGTTGCCGAATGCCATTATAAGCTTTCCCTCGCCCTCGAATTCGGATCGGTGAGCAAAGCTAACGACGATGCTCAAACTGAAGATGGTAAGATCGATGAGGAAATGAGAAAAGAGGCCATCATACAAATGGAGCACGCTATTGAAAGTTGTCGAGTCAGAATGACCCAGGAACAAGCGAAATTGGATATGAATGTCTCTCCAGATGAGGACAAGGCCATCGCCATGAAAAGAAAGATAGCTAATGTGAAGGATATTATTTCCGACATGGAGCAAAGGGTAAGCCCCCGCCTTGCATTTCTGTTTTTGCTGGGAGTCGACCCTCACACCTAATTGACAGCTTGTCGACCTCCAACGCCCTGCCGCCTCATCCTTGAAAGCTAGCGATGTGGAAGACACCATGCTCAGAGGCATCCTAGGTCAAATTGTAGGACAGCCTGTTTCTGAACGAAAGGCTCGACTTGACGCAGTCACCGAAAATGCAAATGACTTATCTGCGCTTGTGAAACGAAAGCCTACTAGCGCTTCTCGGCCCCGAAATGGGGAGCCGACCAAAAGGCGTATGGATGGAGATAAGACCCAAGACCGCGAAACGAAAAGAGCCCGAACGACCGACCTCGAGGATACGAGATAACGACTGGTAAACTCCTAAATCTCACGTCCATTTCGTCCGTACCTACGGGCTCCGCCCTCCACTTCTCCACAGTAATGCAAGTTCCCAACGTGAATTGACGTCGAGTTTCGTTGATGTGAATTATGATACCCATTGATCAAGGACATTGTGCATGAGTAATACAAGATGAAATTGTAATTCATCGGGCGGAAGGCGCAACCAATGATGGCGTACGCCGCCCTGTAGAACTGCAAAAGCTGGTCGGCAAGTGCAACATCCGGACGAAGTTGAAGACTGACAAGATACACTCGCAAGAGCGAGTTGTCTGGCATGGAAACTGGTTTGATGCACAGTGCTCCCAGATCGGTGGTAATGTAAGTTTAATCATGATGGGTTGTGTCTAAACCTAGAAAGATGATGTTCCATTTTGCGACTTTTGCGGCGCATAGCTAGACCAGGACTCCAGATTCCCGCGAAGAGATCTTCGCATTCATCCTCATCCTGGCTGTCGAACTCTATACCGTCTTCCAATAAGCTTTCCCGGTGTTCTTCAGAGCATGGGGTCTCAAAATCAAGAACCAGATTGACCTTCGGTGCAGACTCCCAGAACGGCGACGTTGTAATTTTCTCGGTCTCTAGTATGAACTTGCCGACCTTGTAGCGTTGCGATTCCTCCTCTGCGGCAACATATTTCCAGCCGAGTACAGTTCCACAGAGGGCACAATTTAGATCGCTTACCATGTGCGCACCGGTCACCAATCGACGAGGTACGGGCTTCTGCACGATGGTATTTGGGAGACAGTCTGTTGCTGTGGAAGATGGACTAATAGAAACCGCACTGGCAATGATTCGTGCAGACACAAGCAACGCGCGGCCATGACGGCCAGTGAAACCTTTGCTGATTATTTGCGACGTCAAGCATAAATCTGCCGCGCAATGAGAGCAACGGATACAGGACACATGGCCCATCAAGAATTTATTGGTGTCGTTACTCGTCTCCTCCGAACAAGGTATTGGGTCTAGTCCGGATGACGGCCCCGGGGTTGCAACCTGTCTGGGGCGCAAGATACCTGGACGAAGTAGAAACTTAGGAAACATCAGAGCTTCTCTTCTACCATAACCGTGACTGTATTGCAGGTATAGTCAACAGAAATATTATCAGAGAACCTGTGGGTGATCGGCAGAATTCATTCTGAGAATTGGACACCTCATAGCTACTGCTGTAGCATAGGTCATTAGGTAGTCCTGAGGTCATCTCCGCGTGATCCGCCGTTTGTCCCTTGGCGCCCGCAACATCAGCCATCCCTGTGGTAAGGTGATTCATTACAGGTTGTATCGTAGGAGAGCCGATATGCGAAAATTGAAATTATTGAACACACCATTGCATGTTGAACGAGCCCTGGGAGTACATTTAAGCTTACAATGATTCAATTTGCTTCTAGAGGGGGGCCAGCAAGCATCATCAAATGGTACCGGATATTTCAGATGATTAGGACATGCTAGGAAACAGGAAAAGAGTGTTGTTCGACGCAAAGTAGACAAGTAGGTCGCTGCGCATAGGAAATCACCGCTACACATGTAGCCATAATATCATAAGACTCGAACTTTTTAAGCAAAGCGGGCATGTTCGTTTGATTATACCTCGGCGCTTAAGAAGAGCCACTTATCGCTCAATGTATGACTGAGGTCATTTTCGACACTCCATTGTTGCAGGGTAGTTAGATTAAAACCACACCACCCAAGGTTCCTGACGATTTCGAGCTCGACCGCATTGTGCGGACGCGGGATACAAGCAACAATTTGAAGGCATTGAAATGCACTAATACTTGCAAGCTCGAATAATGCCACCAGACTATACAAGGTCAAAATTAGTAAGCACCTATGATGAATGTGCTGGTTTTTGAAGGCCCGACCAGGTTCGAGATCACATACCCAGTTTTGAGGCCGTGGCCCAAAGTCTGGTCAGAGAAGAACACGAATATGGTTGGTTGGCCATCATTCGTGCTAGTCACGAACCCTCGATATGTAACGTCGTTCGTGTAGTCCAAAACCTCAAGCCAATGCTGGATCGGCGTGTGCATGGCCTCGACAATTTCTGGCTGGCTTTGATACGCACCCATCCCAGGCGACTCCTGCTCAGTAAATCTCCTCTCACCAAGGAATATCACAGACAGGTGCTCGCAGAAGAGCCTCTCACACTCTTCCGGAATAGCATGCGTTGCCTCCCCTTTATGCTCCGATAAGTTGTTCCCTGGCCAGCTGATTCCCAGGCCGGGAATGATGGACAAGTCAAGGGGAGGACGTGAAGACGGCTTAAACCCTGAGGGGACCTCAGGGATACCACTGTGCTCCTGGATGCCGTGCTACATTAGCATGTGTTGATGAAGCAGGCACCTTCTTTGGGAAAGAGTATCTTACCGGTGCCCATAGTGGTGCAGTAGTGGAACCCAGTAACTGTGGAGGTGATAGTGTTCACACTGTAACAGCTTGCAAGAACGCTGACCCGACGGGATCTCTCCGAGCACCGTTGCAACTGACTATCATTACTACTGATATCGTTTGATGATTTGGCCATGGTGGGAACTTGATGAAGGAGAGAGACTAGGGACTGGCTATACGGTTAGAAGGGCCTTAAGACTGTTGTAGGCTTAGTAAAGACTTCTTGAGTCACCGGATTCTTCGATGACAGCTGGGCCGTCGAAAGGATAACAAGATTGAAGATCTTTGGGAGAGATTTTGCAACTCGATAAGGTGACGATATTAGCTGACAGATTTTCGTAATCGGCAGCCTGAAGGGTTGGAGAAGTGACAGATCACAGAAGGGGGCTACGGGTGGATCCGTCCATTCTAATACGCGCGGAAGTACTATACGTAGCTTGTATCATATGACATCCGGGCTGCTGGGAAATCAAACCCCACTCGCCGATCTCCCGGCGATAGGTAAGTTATCGGTAAGAGTGAGACATACACGGACTTCTACTCCGGATCGAAGAGTGTTTATACTCAGCACTCTACTACGTACATAGTCTATGGGTCACGAGTCTGGTCATCACCAAGACAGGTATAGGGTATTAATACGGCCTAAAAGGCTTGATTGACTAGGGAGGTTCATTCACATACGCAAATGATTAAGTGGATTGATGCTTGTTAAAGGTACACATACCATGCACCATGAGAATTAGAGATAATGGTAGAACAAAATCTTCCGTGGAGTTGTAATCTAAGCAAGGGATCGGAGTCTGAGGGATATGAGGATGTCAATGCTGAAGGCAGGATATTCATGAAGCTATGGCCAATACCAGAATATATTCTCAGAGTTCCCGATAATCGCTCGGTCTCGTCCTTCGATGTCTTGCCTGGTGTCGTTGCGGGTTAACAGGCTGACGGAAATATGCAGTGTCTTCTTCTCTGGCGAATGGAGTACTAAAAGTGGTTCGCTGCTGGTTCGAAAACTGGCCAATTTCTGGGCCTTGCGAGAAGTCGGTATTTGGCTGGACTGGCGCATTCATCTGTGACATAGGAAACATGCCAAAACTCGAGTCTGCCGCATTGCCAAACATACTTGCGCTATAGCCACCCATTTGATCACCATACATTACACCTGGGAGCTGGTTGAAATTCGCACCATTCATCGTGTTCCAAGGCTGGTTGATGTTCGGTGGAAACCCATTGGCCGCGGGAATGCCCATATAATTCAAGAAACCGGCCCCTTCAGAAGCAAACCCAGGAGCAGGAAATGGCATCGCGGGCATACCTTGGGTTTGCGCGAACCCAAGCCCCCCAAAATTCATTTGCTGAGCAAAAAGTGGTGGTTGGAAGTCATTGGGTGAATCTTTAGCATGTGTAGCTTGCATCTCGACGGAAGAATTGCCACGAGGCTCACTTTTTTTTTGTTTCTTCGAGAGAGAGCTTGGGCTAAGACCTTCGGAGGCAGTGCTGATAGGCTCACCATCCGCAGGCCTCTTTTTCGAAGCCGTTGGCGCAGTTGACGGGGCTAGAGCAGGTGAGACCTCTTTGGCTGCCACGGAGATCTGGCCTGAAGCAGTTGCTTTGCTGATTGCTTGAGCCTCCTGCTCCACTGGCTGCTTTTCTTTGTCTTTCCTCTGATCTGTCTTCTCGGTTTCGTATTCTTTGATTCTGGCAATGGCGTCATCGTCGACAGACAGGTTATCAAGAAGAACGCCCTCTGTTCCACATCCAGGACAAACGAAGTCACTCTCAATCAATGCGTTCGTAATGCAGTCGTTGCAATATGTTTTCTGGCAGCATGGGGTTCTGGTGGGTTCCAGGAACATTCTTTTGTCTATTGGACATTCTAGGCCACGTGCTTGTAGTTCTTTGCTGTGTTCTGCCGCGGCAGCTTCGGCAGCGGCAGCAGCAGAAGCTTTGGCTTTTTCTTGGTAAAGCTCCCAGGCGGCCTTATCTGGTTTCGCAATGACGAAATCGCCATCAGCGTTGACCATAACGCCGGTATTTCTTGAATCTTCATTCGAGCCATCCAGAGTGAGGTTCTCGGGCTTGTCTACTTTGGTTTGCAGTGACCGCGGTATTCCGGTTGAGCGTTTCACTCTGTATTTACCGTCAAATTTGGGGTCATTATTCGTAGGGCACTCATGTATGAAATGTCCTACACATTTGGTCAGACGCTTCTCCATAGAGCTTGACGCATGAAAAGACTCACCTTTCTCGCGACAGCGGTAACAGATATAACCCGGGGGCATAGGACGCTCTTGGGAAGTCCCAGGCACGATCTTGCCCCTCCCACGACCGAAAGGGACGGGTGTGGCGCTGTACAAGATTAGGAGATTGTGTTTTTATGATAAAAGGTCTGGCCAACCTCGGATTTTTGTACTCACTTCGCCATTTCCTGTTGTTGCTCTTTCCATTGATGCGCCTGCAAGTTGAAAAGAGCATTAATCTTTTCCTCTTCAGTCTGGGCATTGTTGAGTTCGAGAACGCCGTTGCTGACGGGTTGGCTATTGAGAGAAGTTCGAATTGATGAAGATTGGTCATTACGAGGAGTGCTGCGCGCATTGACTGGCATTTTCCCGGACACATACCGGGCGGCGCCGCCTTTCCCTGGCCTTGATGCTGGCAACCTCCGAGCTATGACTGAAGTCGATCGCGGTATGATGTTGGTGTCATCATCGTATTCTACTCGGGAATCTTGTTAGCAAATGTCGATTACATTCCAACTCCTTATTATTGAATGCTTGTGAGCAAAGTCAAGAGTCGGCCTCTTGTGGAACCAGATCGTAGAAACTGACTAACCTTCCCCAGTATCCTCATTGTAGACTGAGAGCTCAAAATCGGTTCCATCACCCAACCTACTTTGATTGATAATCTCTCGTTTCAGCTCGAAGACGGATATACCGGTGCCATCGAAAGTTACCCGGGAGGGTTCTTTTTGGGACTTGAACTTGAAATGAACAGATGATGACATTTTATTCAATTGGAAGTCCAATGATTGCGTTGTCAATGTAATTAGATCAAAAGGAGAATGCCACTTTCAAACAAGATACACTGGAGAACAAGGTAGACAATTGGTAACAGCAACGAGCGGGAGGGCTTGCAGATCACAAATAACAGATTGACTTGCAAACAGTCTCTTGCAATCAACTTCAGAGATCGAAGGACTACCCTTTCTCGAAGGCGTTGCTCGAATATGTAATGAGGACTTCTCTTCTAAGCTGGGTGGTCAAGAATGACTGTATACAGACAAGTCTGACGATTGTGACGAATACAAGGATGGTGCAAGCAGTTCTGCAACAAGTCGGGAGAGGATTTCAATAAAGCTTTGAGGGCTTTGCTAGTCCATCAAGCTAAATCTGAGCTAATTAGACTTCCTCTAACCTGCAATGACGACAGATTTAGTAGGGTAACCTCAGTCGTAAGGTGATAACGATAAAATTGAAGAAATTCGATAGATTATGGGCTCACGAGTGCAAGTAGACAAGAGAATGAGGAAGAAGGAAGGACCCTAATATACTCGCGCAGCAAGAGTCCTGGGTGACTGTCCGGTCGCGAAAGGAAGCATGCACACAAAGAACAGGTCGATGGCCTAATTCACAGAAGAACCAAATTAAGCCAATTTTCAAAGAGTACTTCTGTCTGAATATTAAAGGAACAAGGGGAGGAATGGGCTTGGCGAGGTATCAAAAGGATCGTCTGTGGATGGCGAGGTCGGTCGAAAGATGGTGGCAACCATTCAGAGGTCGATAACAGCCGGTGGTCTTTCTCTCAATCTAGTCACATGACCAGCTTGTACTTAATACTCATAAGTAACCTGAGCTGACTAATTTAGGTAACTAGTTCCATGATTGAGTTAGTCGTGAACACAGGTCACGCCAGCTGTTTGTTAGCGTCGCGTGGAATGCTTGGCGTGCACGGTCAACGGGTCGGCAATTCACTGCATCTAGGCGGACAATACAGTACCGTACCCACCAGGCATACAGTGCAATGACTCTCTCCTCCGATTACTACCTAGTAGCATATATATGTTAACCCAAGTAATCTAACGAATCATAGCTCATGTGTTATACAGGAAGCTCTCAAATGGTATCTAAGATCATGCTGAATTTGTGAGCCTACTCCACATTGTTCTAATTCCGTCCTACAAAGCACATCGTCATATTAAACATAGGATTTCTGAGCTTTGTTTGTCAAGATAGGCAAGAAAGAAACCAGGTGATGTCTGTACATCGCTATGTATACTGCGCGTATTCTCATGAACGGATTGCCGTAAGACAAAATAGGTTTTTTTTTGCTCCAGGTTCGCTAAATACTCGTCTTCGACTTTGATCCCACTTAGACTGGCTGTAAAGCGGGTTATTGCTAACATGTAGAATAAGTAGGTGTTCTATGTTATTTCAAATACACCACAGTATGCTGCAGTATGCTGCAGCCTGGCCTTGTCTTGCGATTAACTTATACACCCAAGCTGAAGCTGATTGGCGAGCACATCACAATTTTCGGCACAACTGTCATGATAGTGTATGTAATACAGCGTGGGCATTCAATGATACATAGCAAGTAGCCTACACAATTAGTCTACAAATAATTCTGCTCAAGACCTTGCAATTCATTCTTATAGATTGAGCAGACACCAACCTTAAGACGTATCTTACTTTTCGGCATTGCTAAATAGATCCAACCCTTCATCATCAAATCCATACCTACATCTGGCGCAACCGGCAAAGTTAAACGATATGTTGATTGGCTTGTGTGGAGGTTAGCAAACCCGACCTGCAAGAATTTCCTCTCCAAATCCCTACTCTTCTTCTATCCACCCCCCAAACCAGTGCAGGCTAATAGTTTGGCGAAAGGTATCTGTTCTGGCAAGCATGCAGTCGCCGAGTATCTTATCCGTGAGGAAGGTTTCCAACTACTTGAACTAAAACGTGGGGAGGCAACTGGAACATTGGATGAGTCTGAATATCTCAATCAGTCACAGCTCTCCCCGCGAAAGGAAAGTCATCCTTCATCAGAGTTTGTATTCGAAAATGCGGAAGCTCTCTTAGATTTTGTAACCCAAAGATGGCAGGGACTTTGGGTCACGACAGAAATATGGGAGTCGTCTGTCCTGGATCGTTTTCTGCAGCGCCCTTTTTTTCTTCTAGTGAGCATCGATGCGCCCGTGAGTCTTCGTTGGAAAAGATTTGTTGACAGGTCAGTATCATTAATCTCTACCTGATCGGTCCAATTGCAGTATTGCTTGCACCCCATCTGACGCTCCATTATAGATGTCGTAAGATGCAGCTAAATACCCCACCTCTCGAGAAATTTGTTCTCTGGAGCGATAAGCATCTCTATGACAAGAACATTGGACGTGTCTATCTCACGGACCGTGCTCAAGTTCGACTGTTCAACTCCTCTTCATCACTACAGGAGTTGTATAACGCTCTCAAATCAATCAACCTGGCTGACGAGCAACGGTTACGCCCACACTGGGATCAGTATTTTATGCAGTTAGCATCACTAGCTGCACAGCGAAGTAACTGCATGAAGAGAAGGGTTGGGTGTGTGCTTGTTCGAGAGCGTCGCGTAATAAGCACAGGATACAACGGCACTCCACGACACCTGACAAACTGCAATGAAGGTGGATGTATGAGCCCTTAGTGATGCAGAACGTTCCACTGAGATACTGGATTTACCGAGGCTCACTTTCAAGCAGGTCCAAGATGTAACAGTGGAGAAGGAGGAGGTCGAGGCTTATCTACGTGTTTATGCTTACATGCGGAAGAGAACGCACTGCTAGAAGCTGGGAGAGAACGTATCAGAGAAGGCACGATATTATACTGCGATACGTAAGCTCTGTTGCATCGAACGGCTTGTGTTCCATGCTAACAACTAGCGCTGGTCAGATGCCCTTGTTTGACCTGCACAGTTAAGATTGCCCAGGTGGGTATCTCTGAAGTTGTTTACTCGCAGGGATACAATATGGACAAGGATGTATGTTTTGTTCAAATCTTCAGATTATCATTCAATTGACAAATGCCAGAGCGCCGCAATTCTGAGAGAAGCCGGTGTTCGGCTCCGGCAATTTTCTCCGGTAAGGCCTGCTTCCACCACTGCTATTATAATCACTGAATAGTATTTTGGCAGCCCAGCAATGGTCTGATCTATCTGGAAGGCTGCGACAATAATGCATAAACTACTACTGCAGGAGAGCATGTGCTACAATGTACTTCTATGAGATTACTACCGAGCACCATAGTGAATACGATTCTCGAAAACTCTGAGCTTTTGAACGGCAAGTCATACCTTGTATGACAGCCACATGATCAAAATGCATTGCCAAATTTCGGTCATCTAATTGTGTGTTGTAGAGAGCACTCGTGAATTTGAATGAATTTGGGGGGAAGAGGGGATGACTACAAGTAGTTGTGAAAAGTGTGCTCTTAAATAGAATACAGATATGTTCTACCCGCTTGGTGATTGCGTCAATTTGACATTCTGTTATGATTATTGATTAAGTGACTGGCACCGGTGGTGGTTCCTGGCAGTGGGCACCCGGAGAGAGAAAAAAAGTCCCAGAAAGAGGTGGTCTGTACTCCGTAGCGAGCAATGACTCAGCTCTCTCCGACTTAGTGGGGTAAAGAAGATATATCCTCTCTTAAAGTTCCTTTCGCCCCCGAGGGCTCCCTTTAAAATTAGGTTGACAAAGCCTATGCAATTTGCATATTCTTGAATTCGGTATCCTCGCTCCCTTTTTTTTTTTACCTCGAACTAGACACTGTTCCCCGACCGTCCCCATCTGCGACAAGGACTACTGGAGTCCACACCCAATTATGCCTACCGTTCACCTGCTCGACTATGTAGCCGGAAATGTCCGCTCCCTGGTGAATGCCATAAACAAAGTTGGCTATGAGGTTGAATGGGTGAAGTCTCCAAAGGATCTGGAGAATGTGGAGGTGGGCTTTTTTGATCCGATGCTTATGCGCAATTTTATATGATTAACTGCGACCGCCATAGAAACTTATCCTTCCGGGAGTTGGTCACTTCGGCCATTGCCTATCCCAACTTTCCGAGGGCGGTTATCTAGAACCAATTAGACGACACATTGATTCCGGCAAACCCTTCATGGGCATCTGTGTCGGGTTGCAGGCGCTGTTCATTGGATCTGAGGAAAATTCCGAAGTGCCCGGGTTGGGGGTAATACCTGCTCGGATGCAGAAGTTCAATGCCGATACAAAAAGTGTGCCTCACATCGGATGGAATTCTGCGTTGGATACTTCAACTGTCAATCAAAGCTTCTATGGGTTGAGCCCTAGCAGCAAGTACTATTATGTCCACTCTTACGCAGCACTCTATACCCCTGGTCTCCTGGAAAAAGAGGGCTGGTCAGTAGCCACGGCTACATACGGTGAGGAAGAATTCGTCGGAGCTATAGCGCGGGATAACATTTTCGCGACGCAGTTTCACCCGGAGAAAAGTGGACAGGCTGGTTTGCGGACTATCCGTGCTTTCCTAGATGGGGATCGATTGCAGACGTTTTCTTTGGAACCCTCGCTTTCCTCGGCAAAGAAAGACGGTCTCACACGTAGGGTGATCGCCTGCCTCGACGTACGTGCAAATGATGCTGGTGATCTCGTTGTCACCAAAGGTGATCAGTATGATGTCCGTGAGAAAGAGGGGGTGAGCACGGGCGGCCAAGTCCGAAACCTGGGGAAGCCTGTTGATATGGCCAAACGGTATTATGAACAGGGTGCTGATGAAGTAACATTCCTGAACATCACCTCCTTCAGGAACTGTCCAGTTGCGGATACACCTATGCTGGAAATCTTGAGAAGAACATCCGAAACGGTCTTTGTGCCGCTCACCATTGGCGGCGGGATCAAAGACACTGTTGATACTGACGGCACTCAGATATCGGCCCTGGAAGTTGCAACGATGTATTTCCAATCAGGTGCAGATAAAGTAAGCATTGGGTCGGATGCTGTCTTTGCAGCAGAAGAATATCACCAGGCCGGCGGGAGATTAAATGGAAAGACAGCCATTGAGTCGATATCCAAGGCTTATGGTAACCAAGCTGTGGTAGTAAGCGTTGATCCAAAGCGCGTATACGTGAGCCAACCGGAGGATACTACGCACCACACAATTCGGACAAAGTACCCAAATGGTTCTGGACAGTCTTTCTGTTGGTATCAATGCACCGTCAAAGGTGGCAGAGAGGCCCGAGACCTTGACGTACGGCAACTAGCGCAAGCTGTTGAAGCAATGGGCGCCGGCGAGATTTTGTTGAACTGCATCGACAAAGATGGAAGCAACAGTGGGTTCGACTTAGAGCTGATCAACGATGTCAAATCCGCCATTAAGATACCGGTTATTGCATCTAGCGGGGCTGGAAATCCTGAACACTTTGTCGAGGTTTTTCTGAACACGACAACAGATGCGGCTCTGGGTGCCGGCATGGTATGTAATCCCTTGCTCCTTCTCACGTGCCTGGCTTTTGATTTGCTGATCGTCCTTTTATTAGTTTCATCGTGGCGAATACACAGTCAGTGATGTAAAGAATTATTTAGATGAGAGGGGATTTCTGGTTCGCAAGTTCGAAGCCAACAAATAGGCTAGTTATATGATCTCAAGTGTTCTAGGTAGCCTTCGTTCATGCTACGTGAGGATTGCTATAGCTTTGTCTATGGATATCGGTTTTCCGTGCAAGTGTTACGTAGAAACAGTTTATAATCAGATCAGTTTCTATACCCTATAACTAGGCAACTGACTTCATACCCCTTTATCAAGTACAGTACCTGGCTGTTTTGTGGCCATTAACCAAAGTATTCAGACGGGATTACTATAATCACAATACTAATGACGTAAGCTATCCATTAGTTGAGCGCCGAGGTTCTGTTCGTTGCAGCCCCACCAACCCCACCTTAGCTAAGTATGTATGGCTGACAGGTGACCGATTGACCGACTACCTCGCTTCATACTACAAATGATGAGATTCTTTCTCAGAATCCGACGAAGCTGTATGTAATGCACTGCAGCAATATCAAGTGACTGCTTCTGTAAAGCCACCTCAAAGGTGAACATCAGATTCCTCTCAAAAGTAGGATCCTTTGGATCCTTTATCAACCGACCTGAGCTATCTACAGCACTGCTTGTGATCGGAGCAAATATTCGACAATGCTGTACGCGCCGTTCGCCTCTGATATAGAATTGCCATTCTACACTGCTCTCACATCTCAAAAGATAAATCATGACAAACTTGATGACTCGGCTCGCCCAGTCCTGGGCCTTTATGAGCTTCGGCCTACGGACGCTCCTAACGCCTCATGTCGGATGCAAATACATGGGAATGCTCTCTCCAACGATGAGTGAGTTCGAGATAGTCTATGGCCTCTATCCTTCTATTCCTATTTCCATGTAAGTGGGATCACTTACTCATCGGCTGGTTATATAGGACGCCATCTGGATACTACCGCGCCGAGGGAACAATAAAGAATGTCAACACCATCGAAGAATATATGAATACCGACAGAGCACGTCTGCTTCAACAATCCGGAGATCTGGTTAGTTTTCGATCTGTCATATTTTTAAAGCAGTATTAACAACACTTTGTGCCTGTAGGTATCGAACGCCATACGCGATGGGAGTATTTACTCTTGTCCTGCACTACTTTCTTCCTTCGTCATTTTATCTTACGCAGATTTGAAAAAATACAAGTTTCACTACTGGTTTGCATTCCCTGCTCTGCATTCGGATCCCCCATGGGTCTCTGCAGGCGAACCTGAGTCAGCTGCGGAGATTTACCAGGATCGGAGCCCAATCGGACGCACAGGCGCTCTGTCAAAAAGTGAGACCATGGCTCTTGTCGGTGCAATCCAGACATGGAGCTCTACTGTAGACAGCCGTCAGCGAGGCTTCTTCTTGGCGAGAAGATTATACGCCACCAAAAATCGCGCCTGTCATCAGGAAGGGCTCGGAAGTCGGAGTTCCGAGGATACAGAAGACATACAAAGGCCACAATGGCAGATCGCACCTCTCTCATCTTTCGAAGAAGGGTTCTTTCAAGAAGCAAATAGTGACGATTGCTTTGTGGGGTTCGCAGATCCCTCTAACTACGACAACGCGCCAGGCTGGCCGCTCAGAAATCTGTTGTTCCTTGCCAAGCAGCGATGGGGGCTCAACAAGATTCGAGTGCTTCGATATCGTGATGTACCGTCAGGCAGTGGTCAATGCCGCAGCACCGTGCTGACACTAGAACTGAAAGATGCAGTAGCATCAAGCGCTGCCAGCCGCAGGGCTCCTTCAATTGATATGCCGAAAGTTACAGGATGGGAGCGCAATCCTTCGGGACGGCTGACAGGACGGTTGGTTGACCTCACGGAATATATGGACCCCAAGAAGTAGTTCCCCTTCCTACAAGCATATTTTTCTCAAGCTAACATCTCCCTTGGTACAACAAGATTGGCTGACCAGTCTGTTGACCTCAACCTCAAACTCATGAAATGGAGGATTAGCCCTAATTTGAACCTCGAGAAAACAAAAGCCACCAAGTGCCTCCTCCTAGGAGCAGGCACACTAGGCAGTTACGTTGCTCGAAATTTAATGGTAATCTTCTTGCCTCCCCTATCCCTACTGTCATGGTCACTGAAGTCGTACAGGGCTGGGGCGTCTCTCGAATCACTTTCGTTGATAATGGTTCCGTCTCGTTCTCTAACCCAGTAAGACAACCGCTCTTCAACTTTAAGGACTGTCTTGAAGGAGGGGCCAAAAAGGCACTTCGTGCTTCGCAAGCTCTATCTGAGATTTATCCGGGAGTTGAATCCGCAGGCTATGTGCTTTCCGTGCCCATGGTTGGACACCCTGTCATCGACGTTGAAAAGACACGGGCAGACTTCGAGACACTGCGAGGGTTAATTGATGAGCACGACGTAGTATTTCTTCTGATGGATACGCGAGAATCCCGATGGCTACCTACGGTCATGGGCAAGGCGGCAGGTAAAATTGTTATGAATGCAGCGCTGGGTTTCGATTCCTTTGTGGTGATGCGCCACGGAGTCAAACCAGAAATTAAGGACTCGGAGCAACTAGGCTGCTACTTCTGCAACGATGTCGTTGCGCCAATGAATGTGAGTATTAGATCCAATGTTTCTTGACTGAAAATCTGAACATCTGCTAGTCCACCAAAGATCAAACGCTTGATCAGCAATGTACTGTTACTCGACCTGGCGTGGCCGCCATAGCGTCCGCCATGCTGGTGGAGCTTCTCATCTCCGTCATTCAACATCCGCTGGGTGCAGCAGCGCCGGCTCAAAATTCACGGAATCATGACCAAGGAGACCATCCACTGGGCCTTTTGCCGCATCAAGTACGGGGGTTTCTGTCAACTTTTGAAAATGTCTCGGTCGTAGGTAGGAACTACAAATACTGTAGCGCCTGTTCAGACAACATCGTCGAGACATTTAAGAGGGATGGCTGGAACTTCGTGCACAGAGCTTTGGACGAGCCTGGTTATTTGGAAGAATTGAGCGGACTGAAAGAAGTAGGTTAAGATCTTATATGGTTTCATCGATACACTTTCGCCTGTATCAGATCACAAGAATGAACATGAACTCTATGAAACTGACGCTGAACCAGGTCCAAGCATCCGCGGAAGCATCACTTGCTGACATTGAGTGGGATGAAGATTCTGATCATGACGGAAACAAGAAAGTCGACCAGTCAGATCTGTAGTCAGAGATTATCTAAGCCTCGTGGTTGGAGGCTGGGCCTACTATTTCCGACTGATACCAATAAAGTATGATTCTTTCGACTCCTGTCTTGGGATTAGCAATGCTTTTAACGGGTTGTATACGTCCAGTACAATCTCAATGTGGAAGCTTACATCACGCGAGGATTCGGGCTTGTGCCTGTGAACCCTTTGGAAAAGATCTCTAAGCTGTCTCTCAAATTCTTTTTGTTCAGCCCCTTGGTAATATTTGCAGATGAAATGACCACCAGTTCGGAGAACCTCACGACTGAACTGCAAAGCGGCATGGCACAGATCCTATGAAATTTAGCATTTCTTTACCAGCAAGGAGGGACTACACCACACACCATACTGCCAACGTGGTCTTTGAAGCTTATACCGCTCGTATTCATCATCCTGTTGTAGGGATCACTTAGACTTCTCTTTCCAAACCCAGTAGTTTGGTGCCAGGGAGCAGACATATCGCTTAAGACCACATCAACTGTTCGTTCAATGGCTTTATCCCCTGCACTGTTTTCTCTGGACACCTGTGCAATTCCCTTAGGCATCTCTCGGTCGAACCCGAGCTGATCGTCACGGCCTGGGCTGATGACACGTGGTTTGCCTCTGCTAGGGTCACGTACGAATTTACGGACATAATCCTGAACTTCTGGATTGAGGAAATTGCCCTGAATCGTAGAGACCCCCTTAGGGGGCTGAGCTGGAATGATATCAACACCTAAAACCCTGCCATCGGGTTCCGTTCGAGCCACTGCTACCTGGCACGAAAGTGAGCTGCCGTCCTAAATGCGAAGGGAGTCAAAGTTACCTGGGACCACGAGCCAGGAGCATATCCCTACACAATTGAGATATAAAAGTCAACTGACTTGAGCATCTTTGCAGCTTGGACTCTTGGCTACCGTACAAGGTCAACGACAGTCTGTCCGCTTTGGAACACGCGGTATTTATCATCAATCTGGTGATGGTATCATCAGAGAACGTAACACTAGGTATAGAAACCAGTTGGGCATACTTGGAGAAGCTTGAATGCTGCGCGACTTTTCAAGCCTTGAACTACAGCTTCTTTTGTAAAGTGATCTTTGATCTGGCGGGCCTGCCATCTTTTCGAGGACGAGTGTCTTTTTAAGGTGAGGTGGCAAAACAAGCGACAGCTTCGTGAAGTACGTGAAATGGAAAAAATATACATAATGGAAGCCCCTCTCTCTTTCCTTAGGGTACAGCGGTGATTATCTTGAGCTGTATGCACAAGGCATGTTGTGACACAATACTAAGACTTATTTGAGAAGTACGGAGCTGTTGTTGGATTCTATGTTAGGTTTTTCCTCTCCGTCAGTTCAAGCATTGCCGGAGCGGGAGGACTCCAGACAAAGGTTTAGACTCCTTCAAATCACTGTCCTCAATTTCAAAGGCTGGAGCACCCACTTTGTTTCCTCGGTCATCCATTCCCCTGTTCCTTATCTATACTCGCCTCTACAGTATCTTCATCTGATGCCCTTCGATATACAAAACTGGCTCTCAGCAGCCATCCAGGCTTGTTGTTGATACGGTACAGTACCTATCACACAGCTAACTTAGCTATCACTTATGATAAGGGTATGGACAGTCAATCACCTTACCTTTAACCATCTAATACCACTTCAAAACTTCGTAGATGAGAATTTATTATTTTTTCCTGGGTATTGTATTTACTCTTCGCCACAATACTTACATGGTGCTTGGTACTGTTGAAAACCGTATCATACCCAAGACGATTATTCATCAGTAACTATGGGCCTGTAATCTGTGGGTAAGTACTCCGTACTCCGTACACGACCAAGCTAAAATACCTGGAGTACGTAGTACTGTAGGTAGTAGTGGACACCTATCAAATATGGTCTGTGACCGCTGTGGTGTCTCCGTCTCCTGTTGACTACCAAGGCCGTAGTTTAGGTTGACTAACTACCCAGTCCACAACCACCTAATTATCACTGACACCTGTTTTAGAAGATTATCGCCCTACTCCAATGGTTGTTGCGAGTCGCTGAACTTCCTTTTGCTCAATATATCCACCAAGTGCCCAATTGACATGCAAACATGAAGCTTTTGAACTTTCTGGTCCCGTTCCTCGCCATACTTCCTCATGGCCTCTGTGCCAATTCTGACACGGACAAGTACGAGAGATATCGCTCACTCGCGAGATCTGCGCCCATTGATCTTGATGACTCTTCCTACGAAGATTTAACATCGAAACCTCGTGATTATCATGTTGCCGTTTTGTTGACTGCTACTGAAGCTCGTTTCGGATGCATTCTGTGTCGCGAGTTCCAACCCGAGTGGGACCTCATCGCGCGCAGTTGGAACAAAGGCCCTACACCCAATGACTTGAAAGTGCTTTATGCTACCCTTGAATTCACTAATGGCAAGGAAACCTTCCAAAAAGTAAGACGAATCCTACTGTTTTTGCGACAACATGACCACCAGGCTAATATGTAGAAGCTGATGCTCCAAACCGCACCGGTTCTCCTTGTGTTTCCTCCGACGGTCGGCCCTTTCTCCAAGGTTGACGATGCACCCCTACGTTTTGACTTCAGCGGGTAAGGCACAGTTTCTGTGGGAGATGGGTAACCTTCGCTGACATGATGTGCTCTGCAGTCCTATCTCTGCTGATCAGCTTTATACATGGATCTCCCGCCATCTTCCTGATGGTCCAAAACCTCCTCTTGTCCGCCCGATCAACTACATGCGCATAGTATCGGGCGTCACTATCTTGATGGGTGTAGTGACACTTTTCACAGTTCTTTCACCCTACGTGTATCCTGTGGTGCAGAATCGAAACCTCTGGGCCGCCATGAGCCTTATCGCAATTCTCTTATTCATAAGTGGCCACATGTTTAACCATATTCGCAAAGTACCATATGTCGCCGGGGATGGAAAGGGTGGAATCAGCTACTTTGCTGGAGGGTTCTCAAATCAATTTGGCATGGAAACACAGATTATAGCTGCTATTTGTAGGTTTCTGGTTTGACTAAACATGAGATTGTGCTAACCCCTCTATTTCACAGACGCCGTCCTCTCCTTCGCAACAATTGCCCTGGCAATGAAAGTTCCCCGTATCGCTGACAATAAAACACAGCAGGTGGCAGTGATCATCTGGGGTTCTGTTCTGCTTGGTATGTATAGCTTTCTTCTCAGTGTTTTCAAGGTGAAAAATGGCGGTTACCCTTTCTTCCTCCCGCCTTTCTAGCATGAACACCGCGTCATGAATCAGCGCGTAAGTGTATTTCTGTGGTGAAGGGGTTG